CTTGAGGTATTCGGTCAATCACAACGCACTGGATAGCTGGTCAATCAGCGTACACCTCGCTTTTCAGAACGATGAGCTTTGTAAAAATCGAAAAAACGCGTTTCAGAAAGGCAGGGCATAGAGGAGCAACAATAATGTACATTATGTGGAAAATAATGTGTTTTTTTAACCTTAAACCGCATAAACACATTGCATTACACCAAATACACCAAATAATGTTCTTTTTAGCAGCATCATATGACCCCTTTAAACAACACAAATATATTCGCTATTTGCCATGGTGGATCGATTTGATCCATGATCGTCATTAAGGGCTGCTTAAGAATAAGCGTGCACATCAGATTATCTTGACTCACTGAACCTGAATCAAATTAGGATTAGTGAGATTGCGTGAATTTAAATGGTCGTTTATGAAACTGCTTTAGTCTCGATTGATTTGTTAGGTTATTTCAAGTCAGGTTTTGGACATAAATCCCCACTTTTCTTAGCGTCTTTTATGAAACAGACCCCGGGTCTGTCTTTCTTTCTTTATTGGTTTTATCAGCGGGCTGAAGATCTACAGCGCCTCCTACTGTGTAACACCGTATCCTTACTACTCAAGCAATTTGGGTGTCCACTAGTCTCACGTAGCCAGACCTATAGACTGACGGTCTGAAGGTCTGGAATTCATGGCAGCTTTCTTTGGCCAAGGCCCGCACATGAGGCCGTTTGACCGACATGTCAAACAACCAATCACAGTTCGTTTCGTTCATCGTCACGTTTCAGGGCGTGGAAATGTCGCCACAATAACAGACTCTCTGTAAAACTCTCGGACATATTTTAAAGATTCTATGCCACGAACTTTAAATATTTCACATACTTTTGAAAATCCAGCGTTTAGTTGATCCTGATAAGCGCTCGTCATCACAGTTGTAAACACGATGGCTTTCTTCTTTCGTGAGGGAGTTTGGCGTCACGCCATCTTTGTTTCCAGGCGGAACGTTAAAGAACGCGACAAGCACGTCTACCGGAAATCTTGTATAATTCAACCAATCCGAACGACGATTTCGAAACTCCTGAAGTGTTTCCACTTTTGTGTGCCATATGCATTAGACGTTTAGCCAACGGTCCGTGGGCGTGACGTCTGAGGCTGAGACTAGGTGTCCACTAGACGCGACGCGACACCGCGACAGAAACAATCAAATATCACAGCCAATCAGAAGCGTGTGTGGGCGGGCTCTCTATGGAAGCGCTCTGCACTCACAACGACCTGGATAAGTTTATAATCTAATTCGTAAATATTAAACCTTTTTAACATTATTAAAAGTACATACTGAGTTACTGATACCATGTTATGGAATGCACTCTGTTCGCAGTGAGTTCACAGTTTTAACGTACATCTTTGCTTTAATTTATTTTCGAGATCTGACTGTTGTTGCTTTAAGTATGGCTATAAATGCCACGCAATATGATAGTCAAACTCACATTAGACACTTTTAACATTGAATAAAGCACATAATCTGTACCTGAGATTATTTGTTGTTCCAGCAACGACGTCGCGGAAATAGAAACCGTTTCTAAAATAGAAATTTCATGTGTCGCCATGCGGCTAGTTAGGACAAAACCTCTGATTAACATGAAAAAGATACATTTATCGCATGTCGCGGCATTGCGTTTAGTTAGGACACCCCTGTTGAAAAAACCAGCATATGCTGGTTAGGAATGTTTTGACGCTGGGATGCTGGTTTAAGCTGGTCCTTTGCTGGTTTATGCTGGTCCTTTGCTGGTTTAAACTGGTCCTTTGCTGGTTTAAGCTGGTCCTTTGCTGGTTTATGCTGGTCCTTTGCCAGCACATGACCAGCATAAACCAGCAAAGGACCAGCAGGTACGGTGTTAGACTGAGAACAAACTACATTTATTCAGGATAAATACTAATGAATCTTACTTTTATGTTTAAAACCCTCACTGACATGTTTCTGCTATGCGACCAGCACTACACAATTGTTTTATGCTCCTTTGAGCTCTTTCTTTTTTGTGATTTTATTGAAGGGTTGCACCATCTGTGTTGCACTGAGAATCGACACTATTGTTTATGAGAATTTCATAAATTCAGTGATAGACTACTGAATCTTTTGTCTGCTTAAAAGTCGAGTTTTTGCGTATTATTTACATTCTCACATAAAAAAACTAAACAAAAGCAATACTCACATATTGTAGCTAGATAAACCAAGAGATTCTCCTCAGAGTCAGACTGACCGTCAAAACCGTTAAAATTTAAAAGGCTGAGATTCGCGCTTCAAGACGTGACGTGTTGACTCGTACAGTGGTTGTCCAGGCAACTGAAAACATTTTAAATACTAGGGGTGGATTTGTATGAAAACCAAGTTTGTGTGTGTGTTAATGCGATTAAGGTCGTTAAATGGATTTAAAAACACGTTTAAGTGTTTGCTCACTCAGCAGAGATAAATTAGAAACCATGATTATAGGCGGAGCTGCTGTATGACATCACTGCAGGTTAGTGAAATAATTAAGTGAAAGTGAAACTAAATTAAACAGATGAGCTGGAAGTTTTTAGAAACATCAACCTCTTTATTCAAACACTGAAACTATTGATCACATCTGATATTCATTCATAGGTAAGTGATCCAAGGAAGAGCTTGTTCAGCAGTTTTGAACTCTGAAGTAAAATCAGAATTAGAATTGACTGTAAGGTTTTATGTGTGCTCTAAGTTCAAAACCTAAAGATTAAAGATTTAATAAGAAACAAAGTACATGAACTTAAGACAGAATGGACCAATAAAGTCCAATAAAAACTACAAATAAAACGCAAATATATTATAATACATTACACCTGGTGTTTGCAGGTATTTATTTTGTGGTGAGGTAAGTTTTGTAAGCTAATTGTTTATATAAAAAATATAAATTTAACCCTTTTTGTTGTTGTCTTTCATATATAGGAGGAAACTTGTATTATAATGTTGTTGTAAAGACCTGTTTCATACACATTACATTCAGTTTCAGTATTGTAATTCTAATTAGCACATAACTGACAATCAAATACTTTAAAAAAAAACAGCAATTATTAGTTTATTTTTTATGTAGGATCTCTGTAATTTCAACTCCAAATATAAAATTCCCTCTGTTTTGTTACCTTTACCACTGTATGCAATTAAACATGGGCACGGATATAACCATGAACTGACCTTCAGTTTTTCGAAAAGGGAAATTACCCAAAGTTAACCCACAAGTTAAACCAGTTTACAAGACTGAATACTTATATTGTCATTACTTATCTTTTCAGTCATGGCATCCTCCAGTGGTCCACTAAATGAGGAGCTCCAGTGCTCCATCTGTCTGGATGTGTTCACTGATCCAGTCACCACTCCATGTGGACACAACTTCTGCAGAACCTGCCTGAACAAGTTCTGGACAAACACACAGACCTGCTTCTGTCCATCCTGTAAAGTAACATTCAGCAAAAGAACTGATCTCATGATTAATACAAACAGGGGCACCATTATGGGGGGGAAGGTTACGATGATTCAAAGAGCCCTGGTCAGAGAGGTGGACCCCGGAACGCAACCTCTACTGGGGGGTACAAACCAACCCACGCTCCTCCGAACGCAATCTCTACTGAGGGGGAAAAACAAACCCCCGGTCCCGCTCCCCCGAATCCGATCTCTAAGGGGGAGAAACCAACCCCAACTCCCCCGAATGCAATCTCTACCGAGGGCCCAAGTCAATATGACATTCAGAGGGCCCAGAAACCATATTGGCACCCCTGAATACAATGCTGAGAGTGTTGCGGAACACTTTAAGGAGAAGCTCAATCTAGGAAGATCTGAAGTGTTGTGTGACATCTGTGATGAAAGAAAGCAGAAAGCCGTGAAGTCCTGCCTGATGTGTCAAAGCTCTTACTGTGAGACTCACCTGGAGCCTCATCACAGAGTCCCACGGTCACAAACATAACACTTTAAAGGCCAAATTAAATGCCTCTTTTTTGTGCGTTGACATGTTGAAGAACATGTCCCCCAGGGTCCGCATAAAAAGGGTGGTCTGGGGCATGGTTCATGTGAATTCCTGTACGGTCCGTTTCTGATGTGAATGCAATCTTATTAAATCATGGAAGTGAACCGCTATTAAAGATGTATGAATGTGTATTTAAGTGTTTACTCACTCGCTTTCCTGATAAGCATGACTGACGCGCTGCAGCAGAAAAAAAAAAAAAAA